ACAATGTATGTTTCATGGATTAAGAGCTTATAACTTCAAAATTTACATCATTGAATGCCGAAAAGCTTTTCATCATTCAATACACATTAGATGTAACACAATGATGAAGCTTCAGGCGTCAAAAGTAAAAAGAGCAACAAGTCCTCAATCAAAGTTGAATGATATATTTGTGCCATAAGCTTTGAAGGGCATACACAAGAGCTTGATTGATGAGTTGTTGCTATTCAAATTTTACATCAATGCTACCTGACACCTTTGAACCTGAAAAATAATAGGTTAGGTCAGTGTTTTATTCTTTAAAAGTGAAAATTTACGTTTCTAATCTAACAATGCTGTAGATTAAAATAGAATTAAGGATAGTCTGACTACAAATCTCATCAGACAAGTTCTCATTTCCTAGAGGTAATATTCTAATTATTTTACGACATCTAACGTAATAAACTTTAATTTCTCAAGGTTTACGATGAAGGCTTCAAGATTTATTAGCAATATTTTATGATTATTTTAGCTTCAACACGCCTTAGAAAATTCCCACAGTGTTTGATAATAGCAAAAACTTTTTATGTTAAAGTCATATACATACACAATATAAAATGGAAACCGCAATTGATCCCACGAGATATTGCTGTCAGCAGTTTGCATAAAATTGGATTTTATTATAGATTTTTCTTCCCGTATATCGCTACCGCTATACATCCTTCTTGTGTGAGGTGGAGCAGCTTTAAATGAAATTCAAGGAAAAGTTCTCCAATTTCTTAAGCCTTAAAGGCATGTGGAATCTCAATTTTCATAGGATTATCTTTGGGGTTGTTCATAAATGATGTGAAAGCTAAGATTGATATTTTTAAAACACCTTTGGAGTTAAGTCAACTTGTTTCTGACCTATTAGGCACGTGCTGCCACTTTCAATACTTGCATCCATAGAAACTAGACATCTAAAAGTTCAGATCAGTTCAGATACCTAAAAAGCATTAACATTCTCATTTAAAGCTAATCTATATTGAACATACTATTCTTTGCTATATCCTGGACATCATAAACAAACAACTGTTCCATATACAGCAGCAAATCTATGTTTTTCTTACAAACAATTCTAGTCAGAATATAATTATTAATCCCTTTTCATATCCATTCCATTATTGTGAATATGAATAGACATAAAAGCTATTTTTGTTGAGCATCATAATGGATTACACATAAAACTTCGTCCTAAAGGAATGAACTCTTGCAAATCATTATAATGAAAATTTATAGTAAAACGTAAAGCATTTTGTGGATACAATAAGAATGGGATGAATAAGAGAAGGTTAAGTTGTAACAACGTTACTCCCTAGATGGTCATTTGATGATGAATATTTTCAACATAAAGCTGGTTTGCTTCAATGAAGCAGCGAATCGATATTTTCAAGGTGGGATGGTAATCAGTAGCAGGTGTGCCTTAATTTTTAAATTGTTGAAGAAAATCTAAATTGGTTTTGTTGTTTACTTTTTAAAAATGGATATTGAAATGCAATTAATGGTCTAGCTTGAATGTCATTCATAAGTATCAAACTAATGTAATTAAAGCTTCTAATTTTGAAAGTTTTGAAGATACTAATTCAGAAAAAGTAAAGATTGTTCGAAATTTGAATTTAATTTCTATTTTCGAAAAATTTCGATATTCAAAAACAGTTTAAATGTCCGAAACGTTTTGCGAATAAACTTGAAAATACGTCAAAATTTTACAAAATTATTAAAGAAAATCATTGAAAAACTCTCTTAACAAAGTTCTTCATCATTACTGCACAAAGCACTCAATTTTTCCACCTCATTCTTCTCGCACAAGCCTAAGTTGAAGGAAAACAAGAAGCTCAAGAAGCAGCTTCACCTTGCTCTACACTCATTCATTTCATTCCTCATGAGATGTATATGTTTCCGCTCCATCAAGGTAATGTAGCAAGAATGATAAGAAAGTTGAGCATACTTAACGAGATAACAATAGCTAACGATGTTTATAATCCTCACGAAATGTAAGGAAACGCAAAATGATATTTCAAAAAATCAACATTTTCTAAAACTCACTTAATTTACTTCATTTAATGGATAATAAAGCTGAATTCTCGTTATGTGACACGTTTCAATCAAGTTTTTATGTATTATGATAATGTAATCAAATTTTTTTATGTCTCTCACAGAGCAGTGTATGGAAATTACTTCATGCCAAATTCAATTGAAATAAATTTGTTGAGATAAAGAGAGCAATGAGCAATTCTTCAACGGAATGGATTTTTGCGAAAAATAGAAGGGACACTTTTTTTTTTCGCGATATTGACTTTGAACAAATGGCGTCAAGTGGAAATAAATTCAATCACGTTATTTAATAAAAGTTTACGTCATGAGAAAAAATAACTAAATGAACTGGAGATTTACGTTGATGGAAGACGATGGCAAGTGCCAAAAAACTCATTAGGAACTGTAAGTTAAATGCTGGATATAAAAAAGAGGAATTTCGTTTGAATTTTCATTAAAATTCAGAGTTTTGAATTTTGCAATTTAGATTCAATGGATGCAAAATGGTTTATTTTAAGAACTCCATTGCATTTATTAGAGGCATGAAGCCAAAATTTATAGTTCCATTCAATCAGAGCTCTACCACAGCAACTTGGCAATATACTCACTCATTCACCTCAATTTCCTTCCGTTCATCAGGCAACACCCCAACCCCATCCATAATACTTCAAAACACTCTGCTACTTAAGCTAAAGTCCCTCAAAAGAATCTTATTAGTAAGATACACACTCTCATCCAAAATATACCTAATTAAGGACATTTCCACAGGGAAAAATGCCGGCACAAAAGGCATTTCACTTTCTTTTGTACACAATCTTCTTCTACCATCATCATTACTGTCATTATGATTATTTTCGTCATCTGACAGATGGCAATTAAAAATGTATATTACATAGTGCAGACATAAAACCAGCAAAATGTCTAAATGCGAACAAAATAGATGATGTATACATGCGGTATGCTTTTGTGTGTAATTATATTTAATCAAGCTATTGTTTATGGAATGAATGAATGAATAAGAATATGCCGGGCAAGAAGCGAACAGCCGCAATGGTTATTTTTTCTTTTTCAGCGACGCACATCAGCATTAAAGGCTAAACAAAAACGAAATTCATTATTTAGTAATTAGAATCATTAACAGGGTGGACGGGAGATATTGTAAGAGTGAGCATTCAATTGAAGCCTTTCTAATTCTGATTCTAATTTTGTCTGAAAAACGTTAATACATTGATGAAATAGCAAAATTTTTGAATAAGACGTTATTTTTTGAATTTTTTTGCGATTTTTTCTTTGTTTTCAAAATATTGTAAATTAAAATTTTATTGTTTCTGGATGATTAAGCTTGATTAACGTTGATAGATTAGTGTGAATTGCTTTGCTCACACTTCTTTTACGATTTAGATTCACCAGATAACCAAATAATCGTTGAAATAAGCCAAAATTTAAGTTCAAAATCTCCAGGTGAGAATTTCAACAAATTATTTTCAAAAACGAATTTTCCTGCTTTCGAGCATAAAACAACTCAATTTCTAAGATTAAGCATTCTTACCTGTTGTTAATAAGCCTCTTTTAATTAATAATTAATAACCTTCAGTACTTAGAAACCATTAAATTGCCAATATCAATTTGGTAAGAGGAGATTAAATTTATTTCGTAATCTCCCCAAAATTACAGTGAACCCTTTCTTCCATAAAAGGCTCACACTCATCCATCTACTGACAAAAGACACAAGAGGATATAAATTTGCCATCAATTTCCACTTATTCAATATAAATTAAAGCTTAAATGTCATTTCGGAGGGAAAAGCCATAAAAATGAAAAGCAGAGCTTACAGGGTAAAATCAAGTCGAAAGCTCTTAAATTGCTTCAATTCAATAAATTTTCCATGACTGCTCGGTGAAGGCAAAGTAAAAAGGAAGAAAAACGATATTCACGATCAATGATAATGTAAGAAGTTTTTTCATCCTTTAACGGCAGACACTCATCCTCTGTCTATAATTGAATTATATGTACAATTTTTTTTCAATGACTACAAAGCACCAAATTATTTCCCATCATAGGGATGGAGAGCATGACATTCTATTTTTAGAATATAAAATTTTTGTTGGTAAAGGTAAAAAATTCAAAATGAAGCATAAATCCTACTTAATAGGATTTTTCATCCCTTTAGAAAATATTCTTGCTTCTTTACTTCCCTTTTTCCTATTGTTCTCAAGTGTCATTCTTAATTAGATACTCAAGACACCGTAAAAGGAAAAGTACTTGACTCAACAGAGCTCACATGTTAAGGAATCAAATTCCATTTTCTTTTTATAGTCACAATCCAACCTCTTTCATTTCCATTTCTTTTCTTTGCCTTGACTTTAACAGATTTTCGTAGTAAGTTGGGATGATTTGATGTGATTTGACAGTGATGCCAAATATCTAGAGGCTTATTTCTGTATTTAGATGTTTGTGATTTTATGGAAGCTCAAGAAGTGGATCTATAAATGTAAGTAGGTTGATTTAACCCACTTTTTGTTACACTTAGAACAGTAAATCGTTAAAAACTTTGAGTCAGTATTATTTTGACATATTTTCACACCCCTTCAGATAATTTTTCGTAAGGACGTTTACAATCGATTTATCAACTTTTTCAGATTAAATTAACTAAATAAGAGTTGAATTTAAATTATCGTAGTTTCATACCCCTTATTAGATTTTCATAGTTTCATACCCCTCTAAAGTTTCAATAATAGCATTAGTCATCGATTACGATATTTTAAACAAATGTTTTGATCCAGTTGCCTATACCAGACCTAAAACTATATATAAGCTCCACAAACTCAAAACCAACAAAATTCTTCAAACTCGCTTCTTTTGTGTCTCTCAGAAAAGAAGCAATCAAAGCAAAGTAAATGTAATGAAAATAATAGAGTTCATTCTCCGACATACATTATTATGACACTTACCAGTAGGATACACAATTACAGTAGGACGTTTAGAATTCAATGTGCTGATGATTGTCGTAGCTTTTGTTTGAATTGTTGCAGCTGTTGTTGGTGTCAGCAATTTATCTGTCTTCATAATTAATTAAATCACTCACTTATCACATACAACTTTCTATTCTGCTCGTGCCTCACTGCTTCTCAATTGTTTCTATTTCCTCTCTTTTAAGGATTGTAATTTATTTTCTATATCTGATACACTACACATATACGAATTTTTATATATCATCTACAAAATGAATCTCGTCTAGTCGTTTAGTACATTTTTATATTTTGTGAAATTCTATGCAATATTCAGGATGTGTCTGTTATAACTTATATCATATTAAATTTATTATCACAGTTATTTGACGATGTGCAGAACAAAAAAAAATGATTATTGTAGACCGTTGATCTGGCGTCAAGACTATGAACAGTTACAATAATGAATATTTGTATAAATCAATTTTCTATGATCTGACATTTTTGATGTCGTTGTGTCGCCTCTCACAAAAAATCTCTGAAATGAAAAAGAATGAAAGTTTACATTTAGAGTTTGACTCAATAAAATTTGGAATTATAATGAGTGTCAAGCTTTTGGACATATTTTTTTTTGTGAGATTTTTAACATATTTTGTTGAATATTGAACGTGACAGTCTTGGATATTGGTCATACTGTAATATTTTGAGATTATATACTTGATGGTATGTGATGGGACATTAGAATCATGATTATGACAAATTTTTGACATGCAATCATAAGAAAAATCTGTTTATCAACCTAATATCTCATTTTTGCATGCTATTGTAAAGGAAGTGGAATTTTAAACTTAAATCAACTAAGCTATCGAATAGTTGCTTCATTTTGGCCTTCTGTTTCAACAGAGTCTGGTTTCTAGGGCTACTGTAGATCTCAACTATCCTCAACTTCTATATCTGCGTCATAAATATACTTTTTATCAAAGCCTGTAGCTGTGATTGCTAATCTTCTCCAAAAGGTATTAAGGATTGCTCCTAATACCATATTTCCCCTACCCTTGATAGTTAAACCTGCGTCTTCTCGCTTAAAATATTCTTACTTCCTATCCTTTTTCCCCTTCATTTGTTAAGGTTCATTTACTTGTACAATATCTGTTCGAAATATAATATTCCATTCACATTACACATATCGGAAATCCATTTTGTTAACAGAGTTCTCAATTCCAATTTCATTTCGATTTTTCCTCTCCGAACAGCATTTCAATATTCTTTTTTTAACATGAACATTTTCTTTGTCAATTATCCCGCTAGCCACTGTCGAATAAATTGGATGAATATTCAGGTTGTATAAATAGCTACTGGCACTTTCAATTATTTTATTGAAACATTGAAAAAATATGAAAGATTGGAATGATTTCAACTATAATAAAAGAGGTATTAGGGATCGTTTGTAAATGAAGTACATTCCTTCACCCAAAGTCAGATTCCGTCCTCACTGAAAAAATCAGCCGTCATTTATGAACCACTTGCATATATAAAGGAGATTTACGTAGGTAAATGGATTTTCAATCGTCAAAGCTTTCATTTACGAAAAAAATTATTAATCATCATTGTTGCTGAGCTTAATTGCATTTCAACAATTTTGTAGCTAGAATCTCGATTAGCTTTTATATCTGTTATAACAATTTAGCACATTCTATCATAAAATCTGAGAGCTCTCTCACTTCATTCAATCTAAAGCACCCACATGGCGCATATTTTTGACTGCCTACTCAGGCAAATAACTTTAATCCATTTCATTCCTGCTACACTGTATAAGTAAGGGGACAACAACCTGATGGGAAAAAGTTTTGTTCAGGAATTTAACTAATATGATGAAAAATTCCTAATAAAAACTTGTCCCCATCATGTTGTTTCCCCTCCCTTACTAGAAAGCATTGTTGTATCTTCATCTGTATTTTCCAACATAATCCAATCAACCGCCATGTGCGCAAAAAGTTGCATTTATAAATAGATTTTGCAGACACACATTGTGATGGCAATAAAATTTACATAAATAATATTTCAGATTAATTCAATATCACACAACAATTCTACGAACAAGCATTTTAACTGCTGGCATTAAAAATAATCTCGTGGTGTGGTTGACTTATTTAATTTTAAAGTTCACGTTTTTTAAATTTAATTTCCTTAACGAGTAGAAAATTCATTTTTTGTTGCTTCTTCTTTCGTCACGTACGCGACTTTCATGTTGTTGCTAAAACACTCGGATATGAAGAATAATGTGAAAATAAATGAGAAGAGAAGCTAATATCTAGCAAGAGATCTATGGAGTGAATTGAAGCGCCTTTTTTGAATGAATAGAGGAAAATAAAATTAACAAAGGTTGAGTTTTCAAATTTCATAACTTCCAGATGTTTATCAATGCAATTTGATCTGGCGCCATTTTGGATTTCAAGGGGTATCAAACTACGCTTAACTCCTACAAAAATGAATTGTATATAGAGTAAAATAAATTGAGTAAGGTTGAGTTTTTAAAGTTCATAAATTCCAGCTGTTATCAATGTAATAAAATCTGACGCCATTTTGGATTTAAAGGGGTATCAAACTACGCTCAACTCCTACGAAACTGAATTGTATATACCTGCAAAACTATATTTTTCACATCATTCCAAGTCCTCAGTCAACGACATTATGCTCTGTTAACATGAAAAGCTTAAAATATTTCTAATGCTTATTCTTTATATTCCATTATCTTACTCAACCTAGAAAAGTTAAACCCTTACTAACATCCCATCGTAAGTGCGTTAATAATAAGACAGCAAAACAGTTTCGCAGTTGCTACTAAAAGCCATTAAATGACCCACAAATTGGTGTTATAAAATAAAGAAACAACTTTTTGTATTCCAAGCGATGGGAGTAAAAACATGAAGAAATGTTTCTCACAACCTTTGTATTGTTGTTTAATTACGGCTTAAGGATCGTTCACAACGAAGTCAGAAGAATAGGAAATGAGTTGTTGGTTGAAAGGATGAAGGGTTCTTTCGTAGTGAGTCATAAAACAGAAGTTTTATTTTTATGGCAAAAGAACGCAGAAAAATTATTCTCAATGTGGATATAAAAATTGATTTGATGATTGCTGAATATGAAAATTGCTTTTTATGTATTGCTGACTCATTAAAGGCTGTTCTAGTTGTCATAATCAGATTTGAGGTAAAAGTTGGAGGTTAGAAATTATTAATAATTAATGCTTAAAGCTTTAATAAGCTGAGGTGCATCAACAAAAACCTCTATTGATCAACCACAACGTCTATTTATGTATAAATTGCGAAACTTATCTTTTAACCTCAATCTATACTATCCACTACGTGTATTCTTTTCCATGATGTTAATTAAAATATCAATCAGTGATGATTGTGGATTTTTACATCAACGATGCTACTCCTCATTTCCTATCCCATTCCATACAGCCAATCACTTCAATCATCGACTCTCATTTCATTTATTTCCTCTCTCATAAGCCTAGAGAAATTTGCTCTATTTAAGTAAGTTGCTTGCTGTTATTACTGCTTTTATTTGATGAGAGATTGTGTGGATTATTACATGCTTAGTCCAGGTTGGTTAGATTGCAATTATTGTGACTATATAGGTATTATGGGCTTTGAATCAGAAGATACAGACAAAGAATGAACAAATAGAAATTATTTGCAAAAAGGGGTGTGAAACTATGTAAAAATGATTTCAAATTAAAGCTAAGCTTTTTATCCGAATCATTTGAATATTTTTGAACATTTGCTCAAATCGGAAGTATCTTATCACTCAATTGCCTCAAATTAGCAATATCAAATTAAGTTTCAACAGTAAAAATCTCCAATAAGGACAATCAAATCGACATGGAAGTTCATAAAACAAATTTTCTTGTTCACTTATTCATTTGGAATTTTTCCGAGAGTTCTTCTTGCTCCTTGCTCACTTATTCTTTAATGTGAATACATAAATATTGATTGAGCGTGTGTGCATGAATATATCCAGTTGAAAGGAAGAATGTTTTGGGTCATAGAATGAAGAGAAATTTTAATGTACATTCTTCACTTTATTGTATACGTAAGATGAACGCATAAATGCAACACATTCCATCGTAGCCACATTCTAAACAAATTTTTAAAGCTATGTAAAAAATTGGACATAATTGAGTGCCATGTTGAACAAGAATGAATGATTATGGATGAAAATTTAAACTTACAATGCAAATATTTGCTTTATAAACATTTACAATTTTCATTCAATTATTGAGTGTTGATGCTCATGTCCTTGTTGTCTTAATTAATTGAATTAATATCACACATTAGATTGTCAGTCATTCCATTACAGTAATTATGGTCGAATGAGTTTGATAAATTGAAAATGCTGTTGATTGTTCGGATTTATGGATTTGTTGTTTCATTTGGGTAAGTCTTAACTTAATTATTAGATTTATAAGAATGTTCCGTTGTTTAGATTTAGTTATTAACTCAATTAAAGATGAAGTTTTGTGTGTTCAACAGATTAGAAACAATTCAGTAATGGCAAAGTCTGAAATAGCGAACATTTTTGTAAGTTTTAACTGTTAATTAACCTTACTTTGGCTTAATTGTTTATTTCTTAAAGTCAAATTCAGAAATTCAAAAAAACGGTTTTCAAAAATTTAAAATTAATCGTTGAATTTAACAAAAATTGTTACAAGCAAGGCGTGGAAATTCAGGATTAATCCTGAAAAATCCCTATTAGAAATCGTTCACTTATGACGTCCATCAAAAAACCTGATTTTTAGACCCCCCCCCCCTCTGTCACAAAAATTCTATAGAAAAAAATTTCCATTGTTTGAACTGTCACAAAATCCTAGATCCCCCTACCCCCCTAAATGTCGGACGTCATAAGTGAACGGCCCCTAAGCCAATAAACATGAAAATGTGAAATCCCTTTTAAATCCCGAAATTATTCATCAAATGCGTCAGGAATTTCACATTTCCATGTTTATTGAATAAGTGATTTTTTAGGATTTTTGGGATTTTTCAGGATTAGTCCTGAGTTTCCACGCCTGGTTACAAGCCCCTCATTTTTATAAAATTGATGCAAAATAAGTTTCTCATTAATTTATTGACATTTTGTTCTTGCTCAAGTATAAACTGGTTAAAATTTGACAGGATCAAAAGATAGCATCAATTAAACTGAATATATTTCCAAATTTTGAAAGTAAAACACACAAAAACCCAGCAACGAGCTTTGAAAAACACACAAAATACTGTCATT